GAGACAGTGCAATTGGCACAGAACATACATGCTGCCAGTCAGGATGGTCCAGTCCTTAGAGAAGCACATCATACTTTTAAGACTCTAGATGAGAAGGATTGATACAATGACTAAGGCAATGAGGTCAGAGTTGTCAGAGATGATGAGGTTGTTTCAGGGTAAGGAAAAGTTTAGAGTCATGTCCATATTGTCCTTACGATTGTAGCCAATTCAAAAACACTTAACAACAAAGAATAGCTACTCTATAAAATAGAAGATAATGACCCTATACGGTTTCTAAGCAATCTTCACAGAAGCCGTCTGTCACATCTTTTTCTGCGAAGCCACCAGGTAAAATCACATTTTTATTTTTTTTATTATCAGCTGAGCATTTAACAACTGTTGGACTTGTACTCCTAATTTTAAACACATAGACTCACTACTCCCTTGTCAATTCCAACTTGGGGTAACCCTCTATTAGGTTTCAGACTGTACATTTTTACCAGAAGAGACTACTAATGTTTATCCTCTGTCCGTAGAGCAACTACTGAATTCAAACCACTGATCTTCTGGAGAGCACTAGAAAAAAAAATTAGAATATATCATATGAGGTATTTTCAATACCTAACTTTCTAAGAATCTCTGGATTGAATATTTACATAATTTTGCTCTGGATTGAGTATTTACATAATTTTGCACATCTTAAACTATATATTCAAGGAAAATAGCATTCCATTTATAAAAGGAAAATAGTGACCATATTTTACTTACTCATAAAGCCTTGGTTCTTCAGCCATCCCAAGCTCATTTAATAGTTTAAATGTAATATAGCCCTGTTTCATTTCTTTATTCAGAACAAGTATGTTGAGACTGAAATAGTAGGCTGCAAAACAAAACAAGAGAAAATGTAGAGTTCATGTTGGTTTTACTTTATTTTAATACCTATGTAGATATGTGTTTATGTTGTTGTTGTGTGCCATCAAGTAGAAATCAACCCACAGATGACCCTCCAGAGAGTTTTCAGAAGCAGTTGATTGCATGGGAGGAGACTGCCCATTTATTTAGTTAATGGTTCGTATTTTTTTCTTGCTTGTGAATATTCTGCTAGTCATTAAAAAAATAAAAAAATGAAGAAGCCTTGTAGTTGCTCACAGAGATGGTAGAATTAGCCAAAAAGCCATTGAGTACTAACTGTCATGCAAACCAAAAACTTCAGGAAATAAATAATTTAAACTGTTTTCCCTTCCAAATATTATATACTTCTTAGTTACACGATTAATTTTTAGATAGATGAGTCAGCATTTACTCAGTAAGTTTGGGGGTTTTTATTTATATAATGTAAGTTCACAGTAGTTAATAGCCTTTAAAATACTACCCAAAATAAAATCCTGTATATTTTAAGGACAAAGATAATTACTCACTTGATTCTCAATATTGTCAAGGAAAGAAGGGAATCTGACAATCTCACACATAAAATTGTACACCTCTTCTCAAAGTGCAATGCTAAAATATTTCTGTGAATAATCTCTAATCAAGAAAGAAAGAGAGAGGAAGGAAGGAAAGAAACAAATCCCTGTTTAAACCCCTGTGTCTGATTGGTGTCAAATGAAACTACTACATGGCCATGAAAAATATAATTTCTAGTGCTCAGTGCTGATTGGGAAGCAGGAGTGGCATCTAATTCCTATGAAATTTGAAAAAATAGTTACCGAAAGATTTCTGGTCTTTTGCTGATAGGGTTGCTATAAGTCAGGGTTGACTTGATGGCAATCAATAACAACAACAACAACAATAATGCTGGCTGATTAACTACTTGCTATCTATTAAAATATGAGAAAATATTCTGTTAGAGCACAAGTGGATTCTACAGGGTTTGTAATAATGGATTCTTCAGAGGTAGATGAGAAGGTATTTTTCAAGACGGGTATCTGAAATCTCTTTTGACTTGCAGTCAAATGTGTTCATACTTTGCATTATCCAGAATATTCAACTATCTCTATAAGGTTTTATTGTTAGTCACTGAATCAATCCATCTCATCAAAGGTCTTCTACTTCTGGCTGTCACTCCACCCTCCCAAGCATGATGTCCCTCTCCTAGGATTGGTCCCACTTTGCAAGTTCAATTATGTCAGATGAAGTTTTAGAATCCTTATCTCCAAGGAGCAGCCTGGTTTCACCCTCTGTAGGACAAACCCTGTTTGCTTTCCCAGCAGTCCATGGTATACTCAATACTTTTCTCCAACACCATAGCTCAAAGGCATCATTTCTTCTTCTATCATCTCAGTCACTGTCCAGCTTTCTGATGAATAGAAAGTAATTGCAAAGACCATGTCCTGAACTATGTGCACTTTAGTCTCCAGACTGACATAATTTCTCTTCAGTACTTTGGAGAGACTTCTGACAGCAAATTTTCCCAATTCTTCTTTTAATTTCTTGGCTGCTGATTCCAAGACTGTTGATTGTTGATGATAGATAGATAGAGATAGAAAGATAGATAGATAGATAGATAGATAGATAGATAGATAGATAGATAGAGCTATAGACAGATTAGATAGATAGATAATTCTAAATTAGACTTTCTCAGGAGTTAATAAAATAATTATTTACATAAGAACTGTAAAGAGGCACCTCTTCCTTCAATGTTACCGCTCAAGGCTAGAAAAAATAATTTGTTCCTTCTACCTCCCTTTAAAAAGTCAGAATTCAGAATTACTCATATGGTTTCTGGCATTGTCACAACTTCACATATGATGGAATTGGCTTCTACTAGAGTTCCCATCACAAATAGAGGTTGAAGGGGAGGGAGTTACTCTGACAATCTAAAGGCATATGGTTCAAATTCATCAGCTGCTTCATGGGGCAAAGACGAGGAATCTCCTCTCATAAGATTTATAGCCTCTGAATTCTTCCTAGAGGGTCAGTTATGAGTTAGTTACAACATGATGACACGTAACAACAATATTAGAACAAATCAACACAACAAACTAACCACCACCACAAAAAAAAAAGATGTCGGAAGAATAAAGGCTAAGTATGATTAATATCACATGTAAGCAAAATATTGCTGGAGATCATAGTAAGAACTAATAGAACTGTACATTTAGAGATAATTTACAGACATTAAAACAGGGCTTAGGAAAGGCTGTGACACCAGGGATATTACTGCTGATGTCAGATAGATCCTGGCTTAAAGCAGAGAATACCAGAAGAATGTTGATATGTGCTTTATTGACTATGGAAAGGCATTTGACTATATGGATCAAAACAAACAATGGCTACCATTAAGATGGGAAAACACAGAAAACTAAGCTATGCTCTGAAGAAATTTATACTTAGAACAATATGCTATTGTCCAAACAGAGCAAGGTTTAAAATCCAAAAAGGTGTGTGTTAGGGTTTCACCCTTTCTTCATATATGCTCAATCTGTACGCTGAGCAATTCATTCAAGAAGCTGGACATTATGAAGAGCGTGAAATGAGGAGTGGAGGAAGACTCATCAACAACCTGCATTATGAAGGTGACACAGCTTTGCTTGCTGAAATTGAGGAGGACTTGAAATTCTGCAGAAGTTGAGAAACTACAGCTTTCAGTTCGGATTGTATCTCAACGCCCTCATCACTGAAAGACCAAAATCCTCACAAGACCTATAAACAACATCATGATAGAGGGAGGATAGATTAAATTTGTCAACTATTCTATCATACTAACATCCATAAGAAACACCCTTGGTATCAGTAATCAGGAGATCAGGGGCTACATTACATTGTACAAGTTGTCTGTCAGTTGTTGTTGTTGTTGTTGTTATGTGATGTTGAATCACCTGTGATGCATAATAACTCTATGTACAATGGCATTAAAACCTGCTCCTGTGCCAATCTTATTGTCTCTCACACACCTACCCCTATTACTCCAGTCACTGAATCAATTCATTTCATCAAGGGTCTTCCACTCCTGCGCTGTCCCTCCACTTTCCCAAGCATGACATTTCTCTCTAAGGATTGGTCCCACCTTGCAACATGTCCAAAATATATCAGATGAAGCTTCAGAATCCTTGTTTCCAAGAAGCAGCCTAATATTACCCTTTCTAGGACAAACCTGTTTGTTCTTCTAGTAGTCCATGGTATATTCAATACTCTAGTATCACAGCTCAAAAGCATCAGTTCTCCTTTTAATATCACTAGTCATTGTTCAGCTTTCTGATGCATAGCAAGTAACTGCAAAGACTATGACCTGGATCAGGCACACTTTAATCTTCAGACTGACATAGTTGCTCTTTGGTACTTTGGAAAGGTAGACTTTCCCAGTGCAACTTGTCTTTTCGTTTCCTGGCTGCTGGTACCAAGACGGTTAATTGTGGAGCCAAGCAAACTAAAGCTGTTCATAATCTCAATCTCTTTTCTAATCTATCATGATGCTGCCAATTGGTCCAGTGGTGAGAATCTTTGTTTTCTTGATGTTGAGCTTCAATCCATACGGAAGGCTATAGTCCTTGGCCTTCTTCAGCAAGTGTTTCAAGTCCTCCTCAGTTTCAGAAAGCAGGGTTGTGTCATCTGCATAACACAGATTGTTGATGCATCTACCTCCAATTCTGATGCCACATTTCTATTTATTGAACTCAGCCTCATGAATAATCTGTTCCACATATAGATTGAAAAGGTCTGGAGATAAGACACGTTACTGGCATACACCCTTTCCAATTTTCAAGCAAGCAGTGTTTCCTTGTTCTATTCTGACTGCTACCTCCTGGTTCAAGTATAGGTTTCGCATAAGCACAATCAAGTATTCTTTGATTCTCATTCTTCTCAGAGTCAGCCACAGTTTGTTGTGATCAACACAGTCAAATGCTTTTGCATAGTCCATGAAACACAGATAGATATTCCTTTAGTATTCTCTACTTTCTGTCAAGGTCCATCTAACATTAGCTATAATATCTCTAGTACTACAGCCTCTTCTAAACTCAGGCTGCACTTCAGGCAGTTTGCTGTTGATGTGCTGTTCCAGAAATGAAGCTGGAGACAGAATGATAAAATTTCGTACAATCAACAACTTATTCATTACAAATATTTTATAAGAAATATAAGTGCAGTCTATACACATAGATTTCACCTGATGGTATGTATAGGAATCAGATCGATTACATCTGTGGAAAGAATTGCTGGAGAAGCTCAGTATCAGCTGTAAAAACTAGGCCAGGAGCTGATGGTGGAACAGACCACCAACTACTCATATGCAAGTTCAAACTGACACTAAGGAAAATTAAATCAAATCCACAGGAACTAAAATTTGACCTTGAGTCTATCCCACCTGAATTTCAAAACCATCTCAGAAGAGGTTTGAAGCCTTGAATACTAATGAGTGAAGACCAGATGAGCTGTGTGAGGATATAAAGAATATTATCCAGGAAGAACACAAAAGTCATTACAAAGAGAGAAGAGGAAGAAAAGACCAAGATGGATGTCAGAAGCAACTCTGAATATTGCACTAGAGCACCAAGAAGCCAAAGCCAAAGGGAAGAAATCAAGAAATTAAGGAACTGAACAGAAGATTTCAAAGGGCAGCACGGGAAGACAAAGTAAAGTACTATAATGAAATGTGCAAAGAGCTGAAGTCAGAAAATCAAAGAGGTCGAACACTCTTGGCATATCTTAAGTTGAAGGAGCTGAAAAACAAATTCAATCCTCGACTTGAAAAACTTAAGGATGCTTTTAGCAGAATATTAAATTATTTAGGAAGCATTAAAGGAACATGAAAAGATTATATAGAATCATCATACCAAAAGGAATTGGCGGACACAGAAGATTTTTATGAAACAACATATGAGCAAGAGCCAGTGGTGATGAAGACGTTCAAGTGGCTCTGAAAGAATGGGAATTTAAAGAAATAACATATGAGCAAGAGCCTATGGTGATGAAGGAAGAAGTTCAAGCTGCTTTGAAGGAAATAGCAAAAAATAAGGCCCCAGGAATAGATGGTATACCAATTGACATATTTCAGCTAACAGATGCTGCCCTGGGTGTGCTCACCAAGTTGTGTCAAGAAATCTGGAGAACAACCACTTGGCCAACTGACTGGAAGAGATCGATATTTGTTCCCATTCCAAAGAAAGGTGATTCAACAGAGGGAGGAAACTATAGAACAATCTCACTGACTACACATGCAAGCAAGATTCTACTGAAGATTATCCGAAAACAACTGGAACAGCACATCAGCAGAGAACTGCCAGAAGTCCAGGCTGGGTTTCGAAGGGGTCGTGGTACTAGGGATATTGGAGATGATGTTAGATGGATCTTAGCTGAAAGCAGAGAATACCAGAGGAATGTCTATATGTGTTTCATTGACTATGCAAAGGCATTTGACTGTGTGGATCATAACAAACTATGGCTGACTCTGAGAAGAATGGGAATCCCAGAACATTTGAACGTGCTAATGTGAAACCTTTACTTGGACCAAGAGGCAGTCATCAGAATAGAGCAAGGAAGCACTGCATGGTTCCAAATTGGGAAGGGTGTACGCTAGGGATGTGTCCTATCTCCATACCTTTTCAACTTGTATACAGAACAGATTATCCGAGAGGCTGGGCTGTATGAGAAGTATGGCAGCAGGATTGGTGGAAGATCTGTTGACAGTCTGTGTTATGCAAATGACACAACCCTGCTTGATGAAACTGAGGAGAACCTGAAGTGCTTGCTGCAAAGGGTCAAGGACTGCAGCCTTCAGTATGGATTGAGGCTCAATGTCAAGAAGACAAAGATTCTCACCACTGGACCAATTGGCAGAATCAGGATAGATGGTGAAGAGATTGAGATTGTTAACAACTTTAATTTGCTTGGCTCCATGGTCAACACTCTTGGCACCAGCAGCCAGGAAATGAAAAGAAAAAAAAAGTATTGCCATGGGAAAGTCTGCTGTTAGGGACCTCTCCAAGGTACTGAAGATAAACGGTGTCACTCTGGATACTAAGGTGCGTCTGATACAGGCTACGGTCTTTGCAATCACTTGTTATGCATCAGAGAGTTGGACAATGACTAGGAACGCTAGAAGGAGAATTGATGCCTTTGAGCTGTGGTGCTGGAGAAGAGTATTGAATGTACCATGGACTGCTAAGAAAACAAACAGATTCATCCTGGAGAGGGTTAAACCAGGCTGCTCCCTGGAGCCAAGGATTCTAGGGTTTCTTCTGACATACTTTGGACAGGTTGTAAGGAGAGACAGGTCCTTGGATATGGATATCATCCTTGGGAGGGTGGAGGGATGATGCAAAAGGGGAAGTCCCTTTATGAGGTCGATTGATTCAGTGACTGGGGTAATCGGGATGGGTATGTCAGAGGCATTGCAATTGGCACAGGATATAGCAGAGTTTAGGGCTGTTGTACATAGGGTCACTTTGAGTCACGACTCAACGGCACATAACAACAACAACAACAACACGGTGATCTTTGAAGACAAGGATGGGAAAATTTTGTCTCACATAATTTGGGCATGTTGCTAGGAGAAGCTGTTCCTAGAAAGGGATATTATGCTTGGAAAAGTGGGTGGGAAGTTCAGCCAAAGAGATGAAGACCCTTAACAAGATGGTTTGACATTGTGACTGAAGCAGTGGGCTCAAATATGGCAGAGATGATGATGATGTTACAGGATTGGACAGAGTTTGAATCTGTTGCTCATAAGGTCACTATTAATCAAACTCAACTTGGCACCTAGCAGCAACATAAACAACTTATATTCAAACACAGTGTATTAAAAGTATTAAGTAAATGCTTAAAAATAAGAAAAATTATAAAGTATTATAATTACTAAAATATACATAAAGCAATTTACCATTGTCACATATTAAAGGAGATATTTATCAGGGATTCTGGTTATTCAGTGATAAGGAATTGCACTGCTGACCTAAAAGTATGAGATTCAAATCCACCAGCTGCTGTGCTGGAGAAAGATGGGCAATCTCTTCCCATGTGATCAACTGTCTCTGAAAATCTGCTGCAGGGTTAGTTATGAGTCAGTTCCAACCCGGCTGTATGTAATAACAATAGACAATAAAGTTTTATGTAATAAATTGTAGGAACTTCTTCTCTAATGAAATAAGTTCCATAATGTATTTGGAAATCCACAAGGTTCTTGAATGTTATACCACCACGAACACTGTCAGCTTAAACTGACAGAGAAAATAGAAAATAAAATAAGGGTGCCAGATGCACAAAAATTCTACAATGGATAGGCAAGAAGCAGGTTGATAAAACCACTTAGCTGTAAACACATTTCCCTTTTCACAAAAAGAAACGGATGGAAAAGGATAACCTGGCTGCAAGCCAAGATGTAACGGCCTCTAGAAGCTGAAAAAGAATGGCATAGGTTTTCCGTTATAGGCTTCAGAAAGTCTTGATTATTGGACCAGTGAGATCCATATCAGAACTCTGACTCATATATGTTCAAAATAATAATTTAAATTGTTTCAAGTCAGTAGTTTTTTGGGGGATGAATATTGTGGCACTAATAGAAAATGTAATAATAGAACAATTGCCTTGAGAATCTAGAAATCTACTTTCAATCATCCATTTAAAATCCTATGAAGGCCATCTCTAGTCTGATACATTTTGGGATCATTATGAGTTGGAATTGACTCTATAGTCATTGATTTGTGGGGGTTTTTGTTGTTGTTTCATTCTCCTACTAGAACTAATACAATTAAAAATAAATACAATATCAAATATTGGCAAGGTAATAGAAACTAAATCTATCATACTTCTCTGGATGAAAGTAGAAGGATATAGTCCCTGAAAAATATTTTATTTGTTGTTTTCTTAGATAACTATGCAATTACTACATTGTGCTCCTGTAAATTTATCTCAGAGAAATGAAAACTTATGCTTACATAAAACCCCCGGAAAAATGAAAACTTATGCTCACACAAACATCCACTGCAGTTTCATTGTCAATTTTCAAAAACTAGAGTCTTCATTTCCTTCAGTGTGAATGATTAAACAGACAAAAGTTACCCTTATTATGGAATACCAATCAACACTAAAAAGAATGGGACTTCAGAAATTTGTGTGAAAAGTAATTGCATGAATTAATCTAATTCACAAAAGTTGCATAATTCCCTTCCACAGATAGCTATTTTTAAAATGAGATATTTCTAGGAAAAGAGCACAGTAAATGTCAGGAGTAAAGAAAGAGGAAATGAGTGAGCTACCCGTTACCTTCAATTCAGTTCAGATTCATAGTGACCCCAAATATGAATAACTGGTTCATGACATTTCCAAGGCTGTAAGTGTTTACAGAGCTCATTTCCTCATCTCTCATGCAGAGTAGCTAGTGGATACTAATTGATGAACTTTAAATTAGGACGTCAATGCCTGATCCTCTGCCACGACTTCTCAGGAGTCATAACAAGTATTTTAAAATTCCAACACATAGATTTTTTGGAGCTAAAACATTTAGTATCTTCATTGTGGTAAAACAGATTACACATGTGATTTAAGTATAAAAATAAATGCACGTAAGTATGCACAAATATGTAGAGAAATCTGAAGAGATGGTTGGGTTGTTTTAATGTCAATTTGCTGATACTAATAACATACTATTATACTATTGGGTGGCAGTGTTACTATTACAGGAACTTAGTCAAAATATGCTTATCATTTTTTCTGTATTTTTTTCTTACAACAGAAAGTGCATCTAAAATTAGCTGAGCAAAACATTACAATTGAAAAACCCAGATGGTCCCAAGTAGGTATGATAGTACATATTAAATACTTAAGAACTACAAGACCGTAAAATACATAATTGTTATTATGAGTCATTAAGTCACAACTGACTCTTAAATGAAACTCCAATGGCTCTTCAGAGGCTATATGTTGCAAATGAAGTGATTTCCCAACTTTATCCCATGGAGCAGTTTGCACATTTGAACCGCACACATGCCTTTGACTTGACAAAATACCTCTTTACCATAATATGTCACTAGTATTCCCTTTAAAATACATAGTTGTAAGATTTTCTAAATGACCTCACAAAAAGATTTTAAAATATGAGCCTATTATAAATATTTTTGCTTCAGGAATCAAAGTTGTGCTCTCATGTAAGATTTTTCATGTAATAAAGTTTAATTTTGTATGTGGACCATTTATGTTTCCTCAAACACTAGTGATAATAATTTTACTTACTTTAATATCCTTTCATTTACTAAAGTTCTGTAATTCTTTTTCTCAAAATTACCTCCTTTATCTCATTATTTAACTCACTTTTAAAAAAAATTTATGTAGCTTAGTTTCAGTTCCTAAATGTTATGAAGAGTGTAGATGGAATAATTAGGCTCTGTAAAAGAATACGTATTGAAATAATCCAGCAGTAGGAATAATAATTATACACATGTGAGGGTGAGGGTTAAAAAGACTTTAATAGTGTTGGGGAAAATTATACTAGAGTCTTCTTTGAATTTGTCCAACTGGATCTAACCCATTTTAAACTTTCTTGAAAATTCATGGTTGCATTTTAATAGTAGAGAAAAGCACTTTGAGTGAAATGTAAATGAGTACATAACACTAATATTTGTTAAACATGTTAGAAACTTACTGCAGAATGGATTTGTGTCAGCAGTATCCAGAAACACAGTGGTCCTACGAGATTGTCTTTTCATTCTTTCTTTTAATATATCTTTCCACCGATCAGCATGATAACCTGAGGGTTGAGAAACAGAACAAAGAAACATGACTTTCCATCAAATACCATATAACTATTTCAAAACACTAAAGAAACTAATGGATCAATGCACAGTAGTGGTTATAACTACTCATGGATTATTTTTTAAAAAGTTTAACAAATACATAAAAGTAATATAGATCAATTTATTTTAATTGAAATAACAAGTTTAAATTAAAAATACATAAATTTATAGTAATCTCTGAAAAACCCCATCTGTATTTATCATATTTCACATAGATTCAATCCATTTGTAGCTGTTTTTATTATTACACATTGAGTTCAGAATTGTTCCTGGCACTTTTTTTATAAATTTATCAGAGTAAAATTATTAGATAAAACTACATAAACAATTTGGTTTCAGGAGTGCAACTCTTAATTCTTCCATATGTAGATGCTTACATATATATGTATGTGTATATAGTGCATATGAAATATATATAGTGTGTTATTATTAGATGCCATTGACTCAATTTGAACTTATAGCAACCCTAGGTGACAGACAAGAAATGCCCTATATGCTTTTTCTGGGTTGTAGTCTTTATGTAAGCAGCACCTATGGATCCTTTTATGTACTTCTGATCAAATATGTATGCACTGTATATTTCACAGTCCTCTCTGGTGATTTGATTCGACCAGTGGCTTAATGAAAGTAAGATGGGCCATGTGATTTACACCTTCAGAAACCCCATGGATTTCCAGCTATGAGTCAGTTCTGGCTTGATGATAATGAATTAGAGTTTTATGAAATTATTTAATATAAAATTACATTTAATCTAATTATAAATTTAGGAATGTAAAGGTTTTTGTGTACTTAAGAAACCCATACAATGATTGACAATACTATTATTTTCTCTCTTATACAGAAAAGTGATGGGACCAGAAAAGCAACTCCCAAAAAATGAGTTCTTAAGAAATTCAGTTCCACAGAATGTTTAATGAACACAAAAGTTCTGTGACAAAAATAGGCTAGCTAAATCTGCAAAATATATGCCTGTCCTGGAGAATCTCCATATATATTAGCATAAAAACTCTGCTGAGGAAAACTGGAAGCATATGGCTAAATTCAGCCTTTCGAACTACTGCCCACAGCCTCCAGCCCCTGTGGTTTTAGAAACACTTCTGGCAGATTCTTTTTTGATAGTGACCAGATGTTAACATGCTCACAGAATGTTTGAATCTGGTAGTCTTTTGGATAATTCTGAACAAACATCCTCGGAGATCCTTTCCAGGATCCTTTCATTTACATATTTTTTCTTTATAGTTTTCCTAAAGTAGGCTTCATTTATAAGAAATTGCAGTACTTAATTGATGTTACCACAAATTATTGATTTAAGACTTTAAGACTGGGGACAATATCTAATTTTTATCTACTTGCTGCTAACAATTTAATAGGTATTTAATTATTATTTTCACTTCTTCACTTGCTCCTCAGACTTCTCATTAGAAAATAGAAATAAAAGAGAAGAGCAAATTGAGGCGGGGGGTAGGGGAGGGAAGGTTGGGCAGGGAGAAGAGTCCAATAATGAATGAATGGAAAACAAAGTCTCTGCAAACTTTAATTAAAATTAATAAAAAAGTATATAAAAAGGGAAATAAGTAACTGCTGAAGAAGCACAGGTCTCCCGTTTTTAAGTGAAACTATATATAGAGGAAAGTACTATCCTTTTAGCAAGAGAGTGATAATTGTGGGGTCACCAGATGCCATCTATTTTCTAGAATACTGGAAAACAGTTGATCAATCCAGTTTTCAATCCAGAAAAAAATCATAAAAATACTTAGAAGAAAATGAATTCTTTCCTCTGGTTATTCCACATCTCTATAAATATTCCCAAAACAATCAACATTTTTTACAATATAATAGCATAGTTTAGATTTCAGTAGAAAATACAAGGTAGTTACAGTCGTCATTTGCACAAGAATTAAAGTAATTATAACAGTGTCTTACCTAGTCTAGGGCAAGACAGTTTCTTAAAGTCATCACAGTTCACACATAACCCAGTCTTGTATTTTTTGTATGAAGGACAAGGAACCGAAATGAAATTGCATTGTGTTTCCAAAGATGCCATGAACAAGTAAACTGCTCTCTGATGGTCACATTTAAAAAATTCAATCCCTATGACATTAAAATCAAGCAAAATAACTATAGATGATTAAGCCAAGTTAAAAAAAATTAGCAAAAACATCAAGAAAGAAAATAAAATTACCAAAAATTTAAATATGAGCCTTTTACAAATTCTGTGTGCTTTAGGAATAGCTAAGCGCTGACTATAATACACAGTTTTGTCTCAGGGAACATACTTCAAAAAGCTGAAATTTAGCATTTCTTTTACATTAAACTTATAAACAATTTTTCAAAATAAAAAAATCTGCAGGAAAGATGTTTTATTTCATTAATTTAATGACTAACACCAATACAGTAATAATATAATTAACAATTAAGAACCCTGGTAGCAAAGTAGGTTAAGGGCTGGTCTGCTAACCAAAAGTTTGGTGGTTCAAATCCACCAATCATTATGGGAGTGGAAAGATGGGCAGTATTCTCCAGTAAAGATTACAGAGTAGGAAAATTGATGGAGGATTGTCATGGGCTGGAATCTACTTGATAACAGTGGGCTTGTCTTCTTTTTTCACACTTAACAACTAGTACACACATATCTCAATTTTGTCTCCATATGCATCGCATTTTAACCTATGACAGAGATGTCAAAGAAACCTGATGATATCAAAACATTATCCCATTTCCTGTTCTTCTTAACAGCCCATAAACTCATTTCATTGACAAAACTTTATTAGTAATGGGAGGCTTTTGCCATGTGTTACTTTACCAGTTGTCTCTGTGGCCCTATGAATATTTTGTGCTGGAGTTCTAAAACTCTGGTAGCATACCCTGTAATGCATAAAGCTTTATTAAGGTCTCAGAAACTCAAAGGAGAGTAGCTATGATTCAGAATCAACCACTGACAACAGTTGGATCAGTTCTATTTCTAAAATGAGCAAAATTACACTTGAAACAATTGCTCAAATGTCTACATGTTCAAGTTAACCAAGTGTCAAGAGTTTATAATTCAGAAGTCAATCAATACTGATATATTGGAATGAGAATTTGTTGCTAGTATTGTTTCTTTTGTCATCAAGTTCATTCAGTTCCCAATAACCCTCAATTCGGTTTCCCAGACTGTAAATCTTTATAGGAGGATTTCTTCCCTGGTGGATCCAAACAGCCTTCCTTCCAGAATTGCTTGCTAGGGCTGTTACCCTGAATAATAGAAAACTTAAGGTTAAATCTTAAGGTCAAACTTGTACTTTTCCATACTTCAGTAACTTCTCTAAATGTTTAAAATTATTGTTTAAAACTACAATGGACTAGTTCTCCTCTAAAGAGATATAAAAAATGTATGAACATTATGAATAGTTGGGCTCAAATCTTACCATTAGTTACCAGTAAGTTTTCTGAATCATGAACAATTTACTCATGAGCAAAAGAAGACCAAATTATTGCCCAAAATTAAAAACACAAAACATGAGTTTTCTTTTTGCATTTTGAATCATCTGTAATTTATTTATTTAAAGAATGAATGAAATACCTGAAAAAATTGACTTAGGACAGCCAGGTTGTTTTCTCCCTCCATTAGGATAAAAATCTATATGTCCCAAAGGCTCTTTAAAGCCCAAACCTGGAATGAAAAGCATCCCAAAATAACAATATGTATAAAACTGAATCACAAAATCTGCTACAAAATCTATGAAAATTACTTTTATACAATTTTATTAAAAATAAAAATTCTTAACAAAAAATAGGTGTTTTTTTCTGGTATAGATACTTAAAATAAATTTTTCACTAAGAATGCATTTCATTATTTTAATTGTTTATTGACTACCAACAAGCTATGAATACACAAGCAGAAAATATAGAAAACATTCTTCTTTCAGAAAATTACATTTTTGTGGAGCAAGAAAAAGAAATAATAAACAAAATTTTAAAAATACAGAATATCAAGTAGCAAATGATAGGAAGAAAACTTTTCTTCCTTCTCATTGTTGTTGAGTCAGAACTGACTCCTAACTAATCCTTCAACAGGACGTTGGAGTCCGTAATTTGCACAGAAGGAGACTGCTCATCTTTCTCCTGAGGAGCCAGTGATGGATTCCAAGCACAAGGTAGAGGCTGTTATTGGGGTAGCAGCAAAAATCAACAAGGATTATGCCAGCAGAGTTGAAAAGGCTCTCGTAGCTTAGTTGCAAGAGAGGTGCGCTTTTAACCCAAAGGCTATGCCTCTCTAGTAGTTCCAATGCATGGAGCAATATGGACATTCATATCTCATGTGAATTACAGTCTCAAAAACTCAAGAGTGTGCTTGACACGGAACCAAGATGGTGGCAGCAGAATAAGCAGCGTAAGGAGCTGCAAGTGCAGCAAACCACATAGAAATTGACCACCCCTCAATAGCCCACAGTTTAACTACAACTGAACAATTAAACAGTTGATTACTGGTCTTCTATATTTAGGCTCAACATCAGGAGGACAAAAATTTGAAAAAAAGAATGGGTGAGTCCCACGGCTGCCAGCTCCCCACTGCTGAGCTCACGCTGCTGCAGCCCCGTGGGGCTGAAGCCCAGGCATCCCCTCACATGGGACTGGTGGTGGGCATATTCTAAAAGAAATTCTTGGAACCCAGATGGTGGTGGTGGGAGATGAGGGGTGAGAGGAGTTGGAGGCACAGCAAGCCACAATGAAATAGGCTGTCATGGCCTCAGCCCACAGTTCATTTTATATATACCTAAATAGTCCAACAGTTGACTACTGGTCTTCAGTATGGATTGAAGCTCAACATTAAGAGAACAAAGATTCTCTAAAACACATGGGTGAGTCCCACTTCTGCCTGCTACCTGCTGTGGCCCACACTGCCGCAGTCCTGCTGAGCTGCCATGACTGGAGGACATGGGTCCCCTAGCCTGGACCAGGCAGCAGGCGCCAGGCCCTGTGGCCAGTGCCATGCAAGGCTGGCAGCAGCACAGGAGGGGGAACAGTGGTGGTGGTGGTAGTAGTGGCAGCTGTACCATGGAACCACGGGGGAGTGAAGGACTAGATACAGGAAAACATCTCACTGTCAGTAAAGATTTCCTTGAATAGGTCAGAGAAGAAAAAAAGATCCTCAACATGATGGATTGATATGATGACTGTAGCAATGGACTCAAGTGTACCTCAGATTGTGGGGATGGCATAGGACAGGGCCAGGACTACATCTGTTGTTCACAGAATTGCTGTGAGCCATAGAAAGAGCTCTGTGGGCCTAGCGGATAGAAAGTTATGCTGCCAAACCAAAGGTCGGCAATTTTAATCTGTGGCCCTCAGGCTTGGTTTTGTTTTTGGTCAAACACTCTTCTAAGTGGTATATCACTGCTCTGTCAATTGGCTATGCAGAAATGTGATAATGGTTACCTGTGGTAGACAGTGTTTGGGGGGGCTCCCAGATTAAAACAAGCTTGGAAACAGGAGTGACATCCACTTCCAAAATAGCTTGCCTTCAGAAATTCTATGAACTTAGAGAAATGATGAAAGTTATTCAAGTATTTAGGTCTTTCATTCATAGGGTTGCTATCAGCTATCTATAACTTGACGACAATTAACAATAACAAATCCTGAACAGAAGATCTCTTCAATGTGCCATATCTTTTGATTTCTTGACTACTGCTGCCAAGAACTGTTCCAACCTAGGGTGGGTCTGTTCAACACTTTCAAAGCCCCTTCTACATTTGTAGAGGGGGAGAGTAGTAATAATGCCTGCTTCGAGTTGCAGTCAGACCACTTGGTGAAAGGAGGGGAGAGGGATGATGGTGGCTGCGCTGGGACCAGGCATACTGTCCTTGGCCATGGTCTTCAGTGGGCCACAGGTCCAGACCTGGGGTGGGGCTTTGGGAGAGTGTGCCTCCCAGCCCCCAGGGTGTGCCATCCAGCCCCCAGAAAGTGACTCCTGGACCCAGGAAGAGCCACCCAGCCCCTAGGGAGAGCCATAAGGTCACTGGGGAGAGCCACCTAGTTTATATGAGAAATTTTATCTAAGGCACTTTCCATTGCCTCTTTCCCCGGTGCATCTGTAAGAAACACCTGCAAAGCCTTTCTCTTTGTAACTCACAAGATTGTTCTCTCTAGGTTTGCTCCCTTTCCTATAGGTAACCTTAACACCAAGTCTTGCTCCAGACCTGAACCCTGAGCCCAGTTCCAGAGATGAAAGGGGAATATAACTCCCAGCTAAGGAAGTGAAGAAGGATGGAACCTCAAGGTTCAGCCAGCCTTCCCCAGTGGACTTACCCTGGCAAACATTTTGCAGTCCAGAGGGCAGAAAATGTCAGGAAAATATCTTCTAACTGAACAAGAAGGCATGCAGCTTCAACCCAGGACCACCAGTAACATGTTAAAGGCTCCCTTTCCCCTTTCACTTTAACACCCTTGTTCAGCATGAAGAAGCCAGAGAGTCTGTGCCTCATTCCCAAATGAGAAACCCACAAGTGAACAAGACAATTTCTTTGTTAAAAAAAAATTAATCACCATTGGACTATTCTCATCATTCCCCTGTCTTTTCTGGTTCCCACTGGATCTTTCTAATTTCCTTTGCCAACTCCCTCCACCCATCAAATTGTACAGCCCTGTAATTTTATCCCTCACCATCCTCACTCATCTGCTCCCAACGCTTACCTCCTTCTATCCCCATATATGATTTTACAGCAACAACAACAAAAAACAAACTCTAGGATGTCAATTATGATCTAGTTTCAACTCAGCAGCAATGCTTTCTGCCTTACACACTGTGTACCATAGAGTCAGAACAAACCTATGGCCAACCCTCCAGTAGGTTTTCAGAGACAGTTTATCACACAGGAGCAGACTTCCCATCCTTCTCCAACAGAGCAGCTGGTGGTCTCAAACCATGTGCCTTTGGGATTACAACACAGCTTCTTGCGACAGAGCCATTAGAGCACCATATACATTAATAGAAGTTAATACAATATGGTATAATATAATACAAGATAATTTGTTGTTGTTGTTAGGTACCATCAAGTCACATGACCTGGTCACATCTTACTCTGTAGACTGACATCTTTGCACTTCAGCACTCTGGAGAGGTCGCTGACAGCAGACTTTCCTAATCCAAATTTTCTTTTGAGTTCCTGGCTATTGGTCCCAAGAGTGTTGATTGTGGATCCAAGCAAGCCGAAATTGTTAGCAATCTGTGTATTTTCAATTTATCTTGGTACTGCCAATTGGACCAGTGGGGAGAATCTTTATTTTCTTCAAGTTAAGCTTCAAACCATATTGAAGACTGTATATAGTCCTTGATTTTCTGCATCAGATGCTTTAGGTTGTCCTCAGTTTCAGCAGGAAAGATTGTATCATCTGCATAACTCAAATTGTTGATGCCTTCCTCCAATTTTGATGCCATATTCTTCCTCATAAAGACCAGCCTCCCCGGTGAGCTGTTGCACACATAGATTAATAAGGTAAGAAGATAGGATACATCCCTGTTCCACTCCTTCCCTGACTTTGAACCATACAGTATAACATAAAAATTATGAACAACAGATAAGAATCTTGCTTTCTTGTGTCATTGTATCTCTGATTTTATCAAGACAACTTTTATAGTCATTTTATCATTATATATTGTTGAGAATTGCTCTCTCTTCTAACCCTTCACCATTCTCAACATGATGTCTTTTTTCAAGGAGCAGTCCCTACTAACAACATGCACAAAGAATGGGAGAGGAAATGTCATCATTCTAAGGAGCACCTCCAAGATAGGCTTGTTTGTTCTTTTTACCGTCCAGAAAATATTCATTACTCTTCTCTAACATTACAATTCAAAGACATTGATTCTTCTTATCTTCTTTATTCATTGTCCAAATTTCAGATGTACAGGGACTAATGGAAAAGACTTTGGCTTGGGTCAGACACATTTTAGTCTTTAAACTGGCATGACTTGATTTTAAGCACTTTGGAGAGGTCCTTGACAGTAAATTTGTCCAAGGCAACATGATTTTTGATTTATTGACTGCTGTTACCATGAGTATTGACTGTGTGGACCCAAATGAAATTCAATCATTAACAACTTCAATCCAGTGAGATTTTTCTTTTCTTGATGTTGAGCCATAATCCATATTGAAGACTGTAGTTCTAGATCTTCCGCAGCAAGTGTTTCAAGTCTTTGACACTTAAAGCAAACAAGGCTGTATCATCTGCATAAAACAGGTTGTTGTTGAGTCTTTGTCCAGACCTGATGCCACATACTTCTATAAGTGCCAGTTTCTCAAATTATTTGGTCAGCAAATAGATTGAACAGGTATTGACAAAAGATACAACCACAGTACATGGATAGCTTTTCTGATTTGAAACCATGCTTCTTGGTCTATGTATAGGTTTTTCACAAACACAATTAAATGTCCTAGGATTCCTATTCTTCTTAATGTCGGCCATAATTGGTCATGTTCCACACAGTCAAATGGTTCTATAAAGTCCATAAACCACAAGTACACATTATTCTAATATTACATGGTTTCAGCTAAGAACCATCTAGCATCAGCAATGAAATTCTAGTTCTTTGATGTCTTTTAAATTCAGCTTGGAATTTTTGAAATTCAATGCTTGAACCCAGTCCATGAATATACAAAGACAGCATCTCAG